GAATAAATATGCTTTTTTCAAATATTTTTACTATTAGCAATCGTTAAGTGCGCCATAATACCCATGGTTCCCTTATAATCTTAATGCTTTTTCAGAGTCTAAACATACTGTATAATATATAATAATGAAATATCCCTTAAACCATACGATATAGACTATATAGACTATGATCAATATAATTTGGCGTTTAAACACTGATTAATCATGATAAAATAAAAACTAATTTTGTATTTATTTACAAAGTTATATAGTATATATGAATATTAATTCCCAATTACTATTTCAAGATCACAGGGGATTAGTGACTGGTCCGTATGTGAATAAGCGAAAATAGAGTTTTCGCTAATTCCCAATGGATCAGGATATTATTATTGCTAATAAAATTTTTATAATTTATACAGTAATTTCGATCAATAAAATTGTAAGAACTTATTTTTTTAATTTTAAATAAATAATTAAGTAGTAAATCGTTTTCTAAAGGGCACAAAAAATTATAAATCTTATACGTAATAAAGTCGGAAATTCATGTTTTTTCCTATAGTACAGAAATGGGGCTTGCTTGCATATATATATTTTTTTTTATTAAGTAAACCTTTCTTTTAGCTTATAATAAAAGTTGTAGAGCTAATTTTTCAGATTCTAATGGTGGTAAAATCATTAAAATCGGTTGGATAGATTGAGAGATGAATATTTTTCAATCGTTTACTATAGGGTTTTTTCTTAAGAAACGGAGCACATGGCATTCCACTTACAATATAAGATAACTAGTAAATGCCCGCCGATTGTTACTAAGAAATTTGTTCCCTTTAACTGCGGACTACCAATTAATAAATATATATCAAAAATTAAATTTTAAATCTGTACAAATCTGTATTGAAAAAATTTTTTCTAATACCATAAAATACTATATATTATTTAGTAATATGGTTCTTGGATTTAATATTTATTTAAACAAAAAAATTCCTTTAGACAGTATATATATATTTATTCAAACAAATCTATATTACTAAAAAAAAAAAAAAATTAAAATATATAAAATCTAAATATGAGTTGCAAAGTAAAAACCTATAACAATTATTACACAACAATAAACCATTAAATTACAAGTCTTTAATTTGCAACACTCATATTATACACTCATGTATAAAGCATCTTTTGGTATGAATATTTTGTAGGTTTACCTTATGTGTTCGAATGTATTTTTTTGACCAACCGTCAGATACTCGCCTGAAACTTTCTTATTAGTATAAAATAAATTGATAAATCATATTAAATATAAATACCTTCAGCCCACGAAACTCAAAAAATACATATTGAAACTCGCCAATACAATGTGCGTCTAACAGTTCATGATTCATACCTGAAGCATATGGTTTTTGATCTTGGCTTTGCTTAAAACACAAAATTCCATTTTTAATCATTAATTTTTTGTCATGAATTGATGATTCCGAACAATCAATTGCAGCTATATTATTATGTGATAGTTCGTTTAATCGTCTTTTTTTAAGAGTTGTTCCATGTTGATTTTGATCCGAAACCTATTTCATGAAGTAATCCTATTTGTAAGTCCTTCCGAGAACTTTATAACAATAGTTCAAATTTTAAACACCTCAGAAATTACATCCAGATCAACTTCAGTGGGGCTATCCAAAGACGCTTCTATCAAACTTGGTGTTATTTTATTCTCACGCATTTCAATCGCACCAGCCTTTATATCACCTATAATCGCATTCATTTCCTAATATTTATCAAAGTCATGTAATTTTAAGATAGAAAAATACATTCAACGACAGTGTTGGCCGATGACCAGAGTCATAGCATTTTTGATATGACCTTGATCATATAATCATATCACTTTTTAATCATAAGCCATATTTTGGTCATATTAAAATTATTTTCCATTTTTTACTATGATTCTTACTGTACCTATTAAAAGAATTTCGTTATAACCAGATAATCTATGACAGGTCATAAAGATCATCGACCAACACTGTTCAACGATGAAGTTTAGGTAAGTACATGTTTATGATTCGATGAGTTCTCATTTGTAAAAGCGTTCAAATCCTGAAAGAACGGATCTACACCCATTGTTTCACATATATAAGCTGTAGTTCTAGACTTGGATGATGAATCATATTTGAATATTAGATTTCATTTTTACGTATATTGAGTCAGAGCATGTAATAATGTATTCTAAAAATTTATTACATTCTCCGTTGTCATCAAAGTATTTATGATGGGTTTTTTAGTAATCGGGTTAAGTTCACCAATTGCGATACGAAAGGCAATATCTGAATCAAGGTCGCTAATCAATCGGATTATTATTGGATTATTATTGTAGTAAAGATAATAAATGCAATGTAAGGCTAGGGATAATGTGCAATAAACCATAGTAATTATATAATTACTATTATTTTTGATAGTAACTATATAGTTACTATGCAGTTACTGCACATAAGATATCTAAGTTTCTGTATAATAGTAAGAACATTAAATTTATACTTCTTTGAAACAAAGGATACGGTCCAATAAAGTTGGTATCAAGATTGATATCCAAATCTTCAGGAATGGGATTTAGTGTGACTAAACATTTCTTCTCAATATCGAATACACGTTGGTATAAGAATGCCAATTCTGCGCGCTTGAAGTTATATGAATAATCCGGTGGAACCTCTATTTTACCATCCATCAACAATTTTATTATCTGTCGATGAATTTGATAAAATTATTGACAATTAAAATGTATGCAACGAAAACTGATTATTTTCTATTATTTCTATTATGTTTATTTGTAGTATCAACAGTTTAAATTATATTGTGCGCACCTTTTCTGCGGTTTTAAATTTTCTCACATATTTGTACGCTGATTTTAGTCCTATACCAAAAATTGATGGCAAATAATCGCATCCTGATAACATCGTCATATGTCGAAATTGCTTGTCAGTCCACCCAAGCATGTTTATTTCTTGTACTTGTCCAAATTTATCCCGAGATATCTCTATACCATTCCCATTAGAATCCATTTTATAAATAACCTAAAATATTTCTATTCAGTTAATGATGACTTATCACTGTCATCTTTTTGTCTTCCATACAGATAAATTCGTTCAGAAAAAAACATCTACATACGGTCTTGCAACCAAATACAAGTAAATCAGAATCTTCCGTAATTATAGCAGCAATCTTATTTTTTTTTTCGAGATATGCTAGTTGGGCGTCAGCCTCATAAGGCGCAACAACATATTCCACATTTTCATCCCGTAAAGCCTTTATAAAAAAAAAAAAAAACACTAATTGATTAATAAATCAATTTGCTTTAAATGTTGAATATAATATTTGAATAGTTAACTTGAATAAATTTATATGCCATCTCTGGTGTAATGTCAATACTTTTCTCTAAAAACGCCATGGCTTCACGAATTTGACCTTTTCTATAAAGTTCTCGACCTTTCATGTGATATTCTTTACGTTTTCTAGTTGAACACATTATTAATTACAAATTTATACTTTTAAAGCACTTGATTTAACATCAAATAAATATGGATACAAACTTTTCTCGACTAGCTTCTGTAATACTTTTAGCTGGTAAAAACCCACCATCAAAGACAATTATAGGACGCACATTATATTGTTTAAGCATACGTACGCGTCTCATGCAATAGTCTACATATCTATTTCAAAAGAAAGGATAAACGAACGAAATAGAAACGCGTTTATAATTGAATAAGAGTGAGTTTAGAGAACGCGTACTTTGTAGTCGGCTTGTTCATAGCCAACTCGGTTATACACGTGTGAATCCCCTTGTGAAGCCAACAGTATGCGTCTACACCCACAACTCTCCCTGCATATTTAGCAATCGAAATGTTCGTGTGTATGGACTTGAGAATTTGGATAAGGCATTGAATACCCATTTTTCGATTTAAACTGTACGCGATGATGGATTTATTTATTAATATTATTGGCTGCAGCAGAGTTGTAAATTACGGCAATTTAAGTTACCGGGTCGTTGATTAACCGCCAATCAGTGCACAAAATTGTGGCATGACGTGTCCTGATATTTTTCCATTAAACGGTAGTAACATTTTGATCAAACGGAAAATTTCCGATTATCTTGATTTACCGGAGCTCCGGTATTTTACAGTAGAATTTTGTGCTCTGCCGCCAATCAAATTATTGATCCCGGATTATCAGTCAGAGAATATGTCCCATAGAGTGATAAATTATAATAAAAACTATAATAAAAACATATGAATTTACTATAAACTTTAAGCTCCACATTATTTTCAACTTACAAATTAACTTATTTTCAAATTTTGGGGTTAAGCATATTGAAAATAGTAGATTAAGGTTATTTAGAACACTTTTAAAATTCTGTAAAAATTTTGTATTTCCTTAATAAAATTTTGCAAAAAGAAAATTTTTTTAATTTTAAAATAATGATAATATGTAAAATTTTATGCTAAACAAACTCAGTTAGAAGAAAAAGATAGGTTATCTAAGTGAAATAAAAAGTTTGCTATATATAAATGTCAAAATTTTCAGTTTTTTTATGTAAAACTTTTTTTCTGCTTAGGTAACCTGTTCTAATCTCTTAAACAAATTTGTTCAGCTACATATTTTATATCTCACTGATTTTGATTTTTTGAACTTTTTACTAAGTAAAAGTTTGGATTAAAGGTTATATGAAAAAAAATTTTTAATTTTTTTTCATATAACCTTTAATCCAAGCTTTCACTTAGTAAAAAGTTTAAAAAATCAAAATTAGCAAAATATAAAATATGTAAAATTATGTGTTAAACAAATTTGTTTAAGAGATCAGAACAGATTACCTAAGTAAGAAAAAAGTTTTACATAAAAAAACTGAAAATTTTGACATTTGTATATAGCAAACTTTTTATTTTACTTAGATAACCTATCTTTTTCTTCTAACTGAGTTTGTTCAGTATAAAATTTTATATATAATCATTATTTTAAAATTAAAAAAAGTTTTCTTTTTGCAAAATTTTATTAAGGAAATATGCAATTTTTACAGAATTTTAAAAAAGTGTTCTAAATAACCTTAATCTACTATTTTCAATATGCTTAACTTCAAAATTTGAAAATAAGTTAATTTGTAAGTTGAAAATAATGTAGAGCTTAAAGTTTATAATAAATTTATATATTTTTAGGATAAATCTGAATATTACATATTGTGATATACTTATTTGTAGCATCTTAATATATATACTAAATTACATAATAATTAATTCGATTTATATAAAATTCTATATATATTAACATTAGGCTATGTAGCATTAAACTAGGATCCGAACAATTTACAAATAGCTAACAATTTGTAAAAATTACTAAAAATAAAAGAATCTGCAGAAAAAAAACCTGAAATAAGCAAACTAATTACTAAAAATAAAAAAATCTGCAGAAAAAGTAGTCTGAAATAAGCAAATTAAAATCTTACCTGTCTATAGATTGTTCAGAGTTCTATTAAACTATACTAATTAATATTTATAGAACTAAACTGAAGACTCAAAACTGGCCTAGTTTACTGAGTCTTTAGCTAAACTTAAACCAAAATCAAATAATACATATTGATTAGCTATATTTCAGGTCTTTTGGATCAATTCTAAGTTTTTTTTGTTTCGAAATTCTATTTAAACTTAACCTAATTTTTAATTCAGATCCAGATCCTTAAAAAACCTATCCAGAACCGGTCTATGCAAATATAAATACTAAAATTAGGCTGGCACTAAACTATTTAGATATATCTAACAACACTGTGATAAGCAGTATTGTTACCAGAATTAATTCAATCCTTTCTTAATTTATACTAGCCTTTGTTGAATTAGCTTTAGCCTTAAATCTAATCGATTCTTAGCTTTAAGTCATTAGTACAATAAATGCATTAACCTATAGAACTTTCTAATTATAAAAGCTGCAGAGCCTTTGGTCTAAGACCATATAGGCGCTTTGCAATAGAAAGAGCAGATACTCAAATATATATAATTAAGTATAATTGAGTTTAATTGTTTTGTTTTGATTTTCGGACTGATCCGGGTTAATCAAAATTTCATGATTTTGATTTGTTAAAAACAACATGTGATTA